GATGGTGGCTGTGTGGACAGAAACTAGTTCGCCCACACAGCACAGCTGGCAACCGCGTGTTGTGGGACGTGTGGACGACCTCTCCAATACCCACACACCAGCCTTGTCCTACGTGACACGCGAAAACTGCCTCAGCGTGTCAAGATTCGTGCAAAGTTAACTGGACAGTGATCCAGACGTGTGGGCGAGTTGTAATGTTGCCATACGTATGGGCGTTAGTGTATTCGTTACAGAAAATAGTGATCAACCCATCTATCTATTCCTCGACTTTTTTTTCTTAATTCGGCCAAAAAATAGTGATCACTTAAAAAAGAGAGTCCTATACCGGTTCTAAAAACAGAACCCTAAGTAAATATGATCCAAACTCCCATCTCAACAATTCCTACTGTTTATGTATTCTAGAGTCGTATCTCGGTTGTACAAATAGAACTCCATGTAGATGCGATCTAGATTCCATCTCAAAAATTCCTATTGTGTACGTCTTCTCTCTCTCTCTATATATATATGTCAATCATTGTCATCCTCTCATATTTATACAAAAAGCTCTAAGGTCAAGTTGCTGCCATCACAGGAAGTGCATTGTACCACCTATCTAGCCGCAGAGATCAGGTGCAAAGTTCGATCAAGGAGGCACGCGCATGTCCACTATGCTAGCCTTGTACATGCGCATCTCGCTGGATTCACTACATGCTAACTTCCTGCAGGAGCGCGCATTAAGAACGAGAGGAATCCTTGATGCCATCACAGATGGAAGGGGTTGTTCGGGCGCGGTCCTGAGGCGGTGGCTCGAAGCCTCTCTGCCCAGATACGGTCGGCACCACCATCAATCTGGTCCGCGTCATTCGACAGTGGTGGGTGGCCGCGATGTGAGGCTCTGATGATTTGGGCCTCCCTGCTAGGACCTAGCCTGCAGCTTCGTTTGGTAGAAGAAAATAGCTCCTAGGCATGGCACTCGGTAATCTCGGCCTCCTCTTCCTGCGACAATGGATGGAGGCTCGGGGTGTTGTTTTAGGCTTCATGGCTGCATGTTGGGAAGACTAGTGATGTTGCGTATGTCGGGTCTCCGGATGCCCTGATATGGTGTTGGTGCCGACGGTTCCCGGTTCTTTCCACCTCGAAGACTACCCTCAGTGGTGGGATCCTGGTGGGTTAAGGTCCTTCATGGCTTTCGGATCCTAGGGCAGTGGCCTCGGGCGATTGTTTGGCGGCGACTCTTGCCGTTGTGCGAGGACGGGCGTGGTGGTCATTAGGTCGGCGTCTAACCATCTCAGCGGCAAGGGTTTAGGTGTCGATGGTGATTCTGGTGGGTCAGCTGGCAATGGATCTGGGGTTTGACAGCCAATGACGACGACACTTGCATGTTCGGGTGCCATCAGAATGGACAATGACGTAACATGTGTCTCCCTACGCCTCTTGGGGGCATCATTTTGAAGATGATGCTAACTAGAAGGACTTGTGATTATTGGTGAGGCATGCACTACAGTCAGACTTTCTAAGCCCCTCACTTGGCAGCTGAGGCACAGGCAGAGGCACTAGGCTGTGTGTGGTGGCATGTTTCGGCGATCCTTCACGACGGTGTGGTGTTGCGGAGGTGGTGTGCAGCAGCAGTGCCGACCTCATGTCTCTTCTCGCCAATTTAGTTATGACTGGAGTCACAGGGATGTTCCTTGTTCCGCGGACGGCTCTTGTCGTTTGGGTTACTTGCCTAGTGTGTTCAGGGTTTCTTAGTTTGTGTGGTCCATGTCTGGATTCTGTGCACTGTATCATCTTCGTTGACTCAGGACTTGCTCTGTGTGGATCAACGTTGCTCTTTTTCTCTATCTCTTTGTTTTTTAATCTATCTAGGCATAGTTTTGGTCTTTTATGACTTCGTTTTTCCTCCACGTGATCTTTTCTGAGTGTGTGCGTTGATGTTGATTATGTGCATCTAGTCTTGCAGAAGCTGGTTGTGTACTCATAGTTTTATGTATTCTCTTGATGCTTCACTTTGAGTTAATAAAGAACATTCTTTATGGAAAAGAAAAATGTTGATACCTGGACGAGCATTTCCTGATTGCCAAGACAAAAGGTTAAGACAAACAATTCGAACAAGAAGTTGGGATATAGAAATAAATTAATAAGAACAAGTTATACTAGATATGAAGGAGAGGTTTCAACAAATCAATCATTGTATCCATGGTTCATTACTAGGGTGCTATAGCTGCAAGGGCTGCTAATACATGTGTGAAATAACTGTTCACATAAACTTGGGATAGATGCAAAAAGATCTGCGAAAGCATATGCGCCGGTACCTCCCTATCACAGCCATCCATTGTCCTCGGGATTGTCAGTGTCGCAACATGGGCAAAGGACGCCATAGCAACAAATCAGGCCAGAGACCATCCCAATTGGGCGTCGCTCCCTTGCTGAAGGCATCGATGTCGCAGTTCTCACCTTCCTTCCCAATTTTCTCCGGGGGAAACCCTAGATCTGGCCTTCTGGGTCGGACGACGGCGGCGCTAGTAGCTGTGCTCGGCACCGCGTTCCCTCTTGGGGGCATCGTCTTGGAGATGGATCCAGTCAGAGGGACCTGTGGCTTGTGATGGTGGTGGATGGCGGCTTGCGGAGGAGTGCTCGTCGAGCGACGTGGGCGGTTGGGCTCCGGTGGCAATGGCGAAGGGGTGAATGATGTCGGAGACGTGGCATTGCTTTGGGTAGTCGGCTCCTTCTCCGACGTGTCCGTGGGACTGCCTCGGCTAATTGTTGTTGTGAAGTCGAAGCCGTGGTGGCGTGGGGCCCTATTGGTATACGATGACAAGCGACAGGTGGTCCGTTCGGTGATCCTTCATGGCGCCCACTTTCCTAGTTCTTCGTCGTAGTTTCTTCATCAGAGTCGAAGCTGCGTTGTCTTGCCGCGGGTGGATGGCGTTCCACCGCGAGAGTGTAGTGCTGGTCTGCAGCTAATAGGGCTGCTGTTTCCTTTTTATTTTTCTTTGATCTTCGGATCCACCCCATGTTGTTTTTCCATTGCTTTCTGCTAAATCTAATGAAGCCAATAATTTGCTGGATCTTTCAAAAAAAAGGCCAGGGTGCTCAGAATTAATTTTGTTTGTGTTTGCAGGTGGCTGTGACTGTGATGAACCCACCAAGCCGTAGGCTTCTACGCTACCTCACTGCTGAAGTGCTGAATATGTGTTGTGCGACAGTGCACACAAACAAATGCATGGGTTGCACTGTTCCTGACCCGCTGAGGTTTTTTAAAAAAAAAAGTAGGTTAAGATCCCCGACCTCTGCATCAATCGATGCATAAGGCCATCTTTATTTATATTATTTAACAAAGATCTAACAAGAACATACATCAATCTATCTGAAGCCATCACTCACACCTACAAAACTTGATAATGTGGAGTGCTCTCACTCCCCATATTTAAATCCGGTGTCATCGCCGGTCCATTCACATAACGTATCGGAACCAACAGCCGGTACAGTGGACCTAAAGCGTACACCACATGCATATGTTCTAGAAGCCGTCATCTTCATCGGACCGCTGACCCATCTTCAGGAGAGAGATCCGCATCATCCTTACCAGTCCGTCCATCCGTCGACGCCATCACGGCGCCCAACGACACCACCGCCCCGCGCTCGTCCATCCAGACGCGGAGATTCTGGAAGATCTATCGTGCGTAGCACCTGCCGACCAGGCATGACATAGTGTAGCACCTGTCAGCCAGGCATGACTTGACATCTCCACGGAAAGCTTCATGCAAGACAAAGCCGCTCCACCTTCTACCTCTATCTTCATGTGCTGCTCCACAAACTATGCTCCCAAAAAAGAAAACGACATCACACTACCACCACCTTCTGATCTGGAAGACCAGATTCTAGGGTTTCCCCCGAAGCAGCACGAGTGGGTCGACAGTAGTTACATGATGATGCCTTCATCAAGGTAACAACGCAGAACGCCGTCATCACTTGCCATTGGCTTGGTTTTCACCGGCAACTATGTCTTCCCGACTCGCGGCCGGAGTTAGATAACGGATCTCGTGATCTGACCATCGAGCGTCAGCACGACCACCTTCGACGGAGGAGATGGCCACCACCGTCAGCTACACCGCGCAAGATCAGATCTGACCGAAGGCGCCGCCGACCAGTCCATCATGGCCTCCATGCCGTCGCCGCCTATCCGACACTCGATGGCACGCCGACCGCAGCCACCGCCCTTCCCGGTACAGGGTCGCGCCGTGCCTGCAGCTACTGCCGCCCAAGACAGGGCCGGCCACCATGCCACCGCAGCCATCGCCGCTGCGCCGCATAGATTGGATCGGCTGCCGAACTCGCATCCTAGACGCCGCCGCCAAGAGTTTCCGCCCGGCGCTACCTCGCGATTTAGCCGTCCCGCGCTGGCCGTGATGCTTGAATGGTGGAGAAGCCAAGGCATCTGTCTCATAGAAATGTTGAAGCAGGCCGTATGTGTGTTGCCTTTGCCTTCTCTCTCAGAAATTTACAAGCAGTATGCATGGACTGCATAGTCCATGGGTGACTGACAGAGCACGAGCTCTCAACGGTGAGAAGATTGAAGGACTGAGTCTTGAGGGGATCTGGAGAAGATGAGAGGTTGAGGGCAGAGAGCGTAGGACTAGATAGCCGTCGCCATCGACCCCAGCGATCCGTTAGATAAGAGTGACCGATGCGACTGACTTCCCCGAACCAAGGAGCGCAAGATCGAATCAAACCCATAGATCGGTGGAGAAAAGGGCGAAGGGCCATTTATGTGAACGGCAGCCTCTGACCATCGAAAGCGATGGCTAGAATGATGATGCTTAAGCTTAACCCTGTCTTCGTGAATCTTGAGACCATGGGCCTAAGACAAATTCCACGATAACGGGTCTTGACACATATGCTTAAAAAATCCGCATTCAGGGTAAATAAGGGCATTCAAGCGCCAATAAAAACAATTACAACTTGACAAAGGTCGACTCAACACATCTACATTTTTGAGAAGCACTACTCAGTTAAGACTTCTAGTGCGCATCTGCGAGTGACTCTGAGAACAAAGGAACATATGAAAGATAAGGAATCCTGCAATACCACCCAAGATCAGACATAAAATGCAGCTCCCTAGAATCCATATTGTATGACAAAACTTTTGTCAATGATTGGCCCCCCATGTGCAATTGTAAACACAGCACTATTATTGCATTGTCTTCCGGGTGGATGATAACATTGTAATCATGCGTTGATGGATACTCTTTTTCAAACAGTTGCAAGTGGCTGACCCTGTTCTTCAAGGCCCACTTCCCTGTACTAGAATCATCAAGAGCCCAGATTGATACTTCAGAATCACCATGATTTGCCAAATACACTCGTCCCTGTGATAGAGAAATATCAAAAGCACCACAACCATCGCGTGGTGTAGGAGTATGAATGACCTTACATTTTCCCTCCATGTCGACTGCTATGACCAAATTATCATAGGAAGATAAATACATCACTCCGCCAAAAAATACGCTGGGTGAAAAGAAGTATATATCAACTAGAAGGTTCCTAGTACTTTCATGTGTCCAAACTCCAGCTTTGGAAGAGTAGACCCCCACCACTTCAATGTCTCTACGACGGTCAGCTGCATCCAAGACAAAAGCATGTACGAACTCAAAAACATGGAAGTGGGATGAGACGGCCGGATCGAACCCCAAGCGAATGGCCCAAAGCTTGCTGGACCAGTTGGTGGCAGGCACGACCACCCATTTTTCAGTGGCCGGATTGCACACCACGTAATCCATCATCTTGCCATCACTGCTCTTCCAGCAGCGACAGAGGAGGAGACCATTGCAGCAGTCCATAATGTCAAGTCTCTCGCATTTGGGCAGGAACGAGAGGGAGGCGTTGATGCGAGGGCACCAGTTCCCCGAGACACTTTGGTAGCGGCGAGACCCCTGATGGCTAGTTATGTCGCATCTTTCGCGAGACCCCTGATGGGTAGCTATGTCGTATGTTTCAAAGAAGAAGCCGGCGAGGGTTGACTGGGGCAGCTTCTTGCGGTGGTCGGGGTGGGAGACGAGGTCGCGCCATCGCCTAGAGACGCACTTGCAGCAGCAGGTGGACTTGTACGGCAAGAGGGACATGATCTCAACGAGGAGGTCGTCGGAGAGTTCGGACACCGGGCTCTTCTCCGTGCTCTTCTCCGTGTCCCTCTTCTTCTTGGAGCTCCCTGGCACCATCGCCAGCCAGCCTGCAGTTTGAGACGGAAGACTGGAGACCCGCCCACCGGTGAGCCTGAGAACCTACCAATTGCTTGCTCCGCGGCGGCGAGAAACGGAGGTGGAACAAGAAAGACGAGATCGTATGCCTTTCTGTTGAGGGGTAGGTCGTATGTCTCGATGAGGCCTGTATCTGGGGTTTTATCTTTAAATCTTGGCCGTATATGAGTCGAAACGTACAAGTAGACGGACTTCTATTTCAATTCGTACATCGCTTATGGATTTGCAGACAAAAATTGTGTCACAGCAAGAAACCACCAGCCCCTCACGAAAACAAAAGAAGAAAAACATTGGCAATTTTTATCTTATTTAATTTTTGGAAAAACTTCCGATCTACTTCATCAAACAACATGGGTGTACAAAGAACATGAGAAGTAACAAAAATTACATCCAATTCCGTAGACCACCTAACGACGAGTATAATCACTGGAACAAGCCGAAGGCATGCCTCCGTCATCGCCCCTCCCTCATCGGAGCCGGGCAAACCTTGTTTTGATAGACAATCGAGAAGTCATCGTGCTAAGGCCTCAAAGGACCAGCATACTAGAATAGCAACCGACGCTGATGTAGAGAAGCGTAAACCAGAAGGATCCAACCCGTAGACACCGAAACGCAGACAAAGAAAGACCAGATCCAAGGAGATCCGCCTAAGACAAATGGCAACCGAATCTCATGAGATCCGGCGGAGACGCACCTCCACACGCCCTCCAACAATGCTTGACACACCATCGGAATGGTGACTAGGCGGGAAGAACTTTATTCCATCTTTAGAAAGCCGTCACCGCCTCGTCTTTTTAAGCAGGACACAAACCCTAAACAGACTTGAAAAGACATCTAAAAACAAAGAAGGAGCCCTTCCACCAGCAATGGCCAAGATCCATCATGCACCCATGGCCGTAAGGCCACAGGAAGCGAGGCAGATCTAGTGCCAGCAGGAGGCGGCTGGGAACCCTCCGCTAGGAGCTCATCCCTAGGAGTCATAGGGAAACAGGCCGCACGCCCAGAATAGCGAGTTTTTGTTGTAGACGTACAATCGGCGGGTAGCCAAGTCGATTTCAGTGTACAAAGGATCTTCTCAAATGCATTGCCTTCTCCCTTCGGAAGAAACCATCAGAATGTTTTACTCGTGAACTTAATCAAATCAACACAAACATAATATGCACTGGTTTTACTTTCAGTGAGATTTTGATGAAATTCACTGAATTCCATTAATTTGAACTAATACTAAAATATTTACGTTTCAGCCAAAATATTTGGCCATTTCAGTAGTACATAAAATTCAAATATTTTTCAAAATACATTTTAAAATTTTCAAAAATCTAATTGAATTCAAGTGAATATTTCGGCCATTTGGCTGAAATGCAATCCAAAATCACTGAATTAACTGAATTTCGGTGGTTTTGGTTGGCGCTGAAATTTTTCTGAAACTGAAATTGAAAACCATCTGCTCGTGCAAACCACAATCTGTATGGATGTGTGCAGGAAAAACCATCCTCCATTGTCGAAAATTTGAACTTCCTCCTAGGTAGATCTCAAACAGACAACCAGAAGCCCAGGATGGAGCGTACGATAGGAAGTTTCTATGTTGATGGATCTACTAGTTTTGTCCAGTGCAGGATGGAGCATATAATAAATTCCCAGCAACAACAGGATGCAGTTGCAATTCTAATTATGAGTACCGGTGCCTCAACAAACTGAACTTGAACTCATCTATTGGAAATTGCAGCCGGGTGAATACGTTTTGTCCAGTGATGGCGACACAAAGATAATCAAACTAAATGGCAAAAATCACATGAGATTCCAGTTGTATTGAAACATCAGTTCATATATTAGAAAGCCATGCAAATCGATCTTGTTAAACTACTACTATCACATTAATAGACCACATTTTTAGAAGGCAAGAGAATACAACACACAATTCTATCTCAATGGCATGTGATCCTCGGACACTATATAAATGCAACCGCAGTCGGCCGTTCCAGGTCCACGGAAACAACAAGATCTCAAGTTCTTGGCTAGGGCTACAGATTTAGGAACGAGAAAATAACATTTCATGTATTGCCGGAAACCCAAGTTGGTACCTAGATAAACTATTCACAAACAGAGAAATAAATAAGCAGAGACATGAATCTAGATATTAGAATATTTATAGTTCCAACAAAACAGTAAAGTACCCCTAGCAAGGTTGCAAGATCTTAAGTTCTATGTTAGAGCTAGAGTTTAGGAACGAGAAAATAACGAGCCATGTACAACCGAAGATCAAATGCAAATACATACATTCAAAAAAGGAGAAATAAGCGGAGGCAATAATGGAGATGTTAAAATTACTCCTATAAAGGATGTTCGAGTGCCCACCTCCTGGGCGCCTCTATGGGCGAGAGTGCCCTCCATGCCTTCATGTTGGCATGGTACAGGCCGGCCTGGGGCTCTCTACGCCGTTCGATCTGTCCAGACAGCTTTGGTCGCCCTGCCTTCGAGTTCCCGCACGCTGTCCCGTGCTGGACGGGGTGGCTGGACCCACCTGTCAGTGTCATAGTTAAAAAGCTAAACTGGTGATGCCCCCGGTTCAGATTTTTGCCGATTGAATAGCAGATTCATCGGTTCGTTTGCTGGTTATTTAATCCATAAAAATATGTAAAAGAAAGTTTCTTTCCTTTGGCAGCTAACTGGGATGGGAGAATTGGTTGTTGGGCCAAATTGGTGACGTCGGCTTGTTTCCTATGGCCCATGGATCGACCCCCAATGGCCGCAACTATTTTTACTCTTTCCCGGCGATGCTAGCATGTGCTACCGGTTCAATCAGTTTTGGGGTTTTCTTCCGATTTGAGCAAAAATGGCTGGTTCGAACGGTTTTTCCTGGTCCATTTGCATAACTATCTAATTAGCTTATAAACCCGACGGGGCCTCCATTTCTGGTTTTTTCCGGTCCGACCCGCGGT